TGGCAATCGTACTCAAGATAATTGAATGTAAATCACTCTGATACAAACCCTCGTTATACAAACATATTCCGGTAGATATTAGATGATAAATCCCGTAGATAAGACAGAGCTAAAGGAGATGACGTTCACTAACTGAAAACTGTGCAAGCCAAGGTCGAAGATCAGTGAAGATTGCCGTTTAATACCACGTGATAATGAGAGACGCTCCTATTGAACTTGACCACTGGACTAGATAAGAATCAATTGATAACCTGTCATCTTAACCAGTAGCTTAACATTCTATTCTGATCTTGATTGTCCATCGTGAGCTCTATGAAATACGGCTTTGTCATGTAAGAGGAAGTCATTGTCCCAGTCTGCTCTGGTATGTTTGTATCCTTCGATCCCCATCTCAAATGAATTGACCGAACACCCTAACCTGGAACATACCGAAGCAGTAGTAACAACAATCGGAATAAAAAGAAAACTCTTTGAAACGATTGTTATGCAAATGTTCTTAATCGGTGCCCAGTCTTTTGATAATATCTTTTCAGAATGAATGTTTGCTTCTAACAGCAAATATAGCTAGGGCAAGTCCACGGTTAGAAATCATCTCTTTTCCTCTCTTAAAGACAACTTCATAGAAATGTTTTTTGTTGTACTGTTCTTCTTTCGTCTGAAGTCCTTGTCAAGCCAACTCATCGGCAACGTAATCTTTATGTGTAAATTGAAGTTTCATGTTCTTCTTTTCTCTCTCTCTCTCTCTCTCTCTCTTTTTTTCCTATTCCTCTCTACCATTAGCTTCTTTTTTTTACCTTCTTTCCCTCCATCGCTATCTTTCCCCTCTTTTTTTTTTAGGTCCCCCAAAATAAGGACGAGGGCCATGGCCAATTCGCCCCCCCCCCCCGAATCCGCTATACTGACTTATACCTGTAAATTTGTGTACGCTTTATGCATAGCTTGTGCTGGGGGTGGGGTTTCCATCCCATCCAACACAGAGCCATTACTCTCTTTCTGTCCCTCCCTCTCTCTCTCTCTCTCTCTTCTTGTCCTCTCTTCTTCTCTTGTACCTGCTTTTCTCCTCTTTTCTTCTGTCACTCTCTTTCACCATTCTCCCCCCTTTTCAAAGGCAGCCAAAAAGGGGTGGGGGTAGGACCGGGGCCGAATCCCCCCCCCCCCCCCCCCCCCACCTGGATCCACCACTGGTTTGGACGAAGAGTAAACACAATCCTTGCAAGAAACAAGGATAGAGATAGAGAGTACACAGAGCAAACAGGTGGTCTTGCTTATTACACATGAATGGCTTTATACAAATACAAACATGTTCAAAACATTCTCCTAACTATTCTGTTCAATTTTTGGTAAAAGGTTTTAAGTAGATATAGAAATATCTCCATTTTCTCATTATTTTGATCAATTTTGCTGAAAGGCTTACAAATAAACATAAATTTCATTGACATTTTATTCATTTAGCGACAAGAAGCAACACACGAGATCACATACATATTTTCTTTCAAAATACATCTTCTAAATGCTTTAAGGGCTACCTATTACAACAAAATTTGTACCAAAATAACATGATCATAAAAATCAAAGTTCTCTTAAAAATACAAATATTATCTTGCAGCTCATGTAAAGCCCTTTGCTTTGCCTGGAAAATATCTTCTTCTGCATGCACAAGCCTTCTATGCATCTAATAGACATTGCACTATTTATCTAATTTTTCTATAAAAACAGACTTTATAAAGATATCATTATTTTAACATGGTTTAACATATCATTGTAAGTGGATTGCACATACATTTTTCTGAATAAAACACATGATTGCAGCTTTTTAACAATATTATCATCTAGTGTTACAAACAGACATTCCATTTACAATTATCTACAAAATTCAAATATTTGGAAATAAGCATTTGACTATTTTGTTGTTGTTTTCTCTCAATGTCCAATATGTATTTACGATTTTTACCATTTTACTTTTTTGTTAGTAGCATCACAAACTTCCTTAACTGTAATTCTAATTTTCCCACATACCTCTTGATAAATTAAATTAACATGATTTTTCAAAGTATTTAAATAATTTAGTGGATTTCAATAATCAATTATTAATTTACACAACGGGTTTTGACTCGTAACTAATAATGCCAATAATGCCGATACTGACTACCAACAATGCATTTTTTATGCATGGAAAACATGTACATAAAGAAGGGGTAGCTCACATAATGAATCATTCAAGTGAGCTCCTATTAATTTGAAAACTCTTAAAGTAAATGATTTCAGGCTCAAGGCACTTGTTTCTGCGTAAATAGGCAATTTTCTAATTGTGGCTGTACTGGGCTTGGGGGCTACTATTAGAATAGAATTAGAATAGGAGGCCTCCGATCTAAACATGACACATGAGATAAATGTAAGTAAACTGGTGCCTGGCTGGAATGATCCCCAGGGAGTGAAGAACATGTGTATACATTATGTGCAGGCGAGCCTGAATTTGATGACCGAGGTATAGTATAATATCCGTATTAAAGGTACTATGTCCCTTTTGCAGCCAACCTCTAATTCTGTAGGACTTTGCAGGAATTATGAATATGTCATGTTTGTCCTATCTGTGAAATTTAAACGTTAGCCGTGTCCTCATATTCAAATTATGCAAGGAAACCCGTTTACTTGCTATACTTCACTGTCAGACACTATTGAGTGACTGAATGGCTTTTTTCTTCTTTGGTAATAACATACATGAAAAGAGTTGTAAAGGGTACATGAGCATTTGTCTACATCAATAACCCACTTCTTGTGATGGCCAAAATTAAACTGATTGAATCTTTGCACAGCATAAAACATATGACCATTCGGTACAATTGTCTGAAAATCAAGACTATTACTTATTGGCTCTATAGCCCCTAAGTCGATTTGACAACTAATAGTCGTTATTTTCCCACTTGAAGACATTTTCAAGCCCCACCTTTTTTAGGGAAGTTCGAAGTTAGTATTATCTTTCAAATGCAGTTGGAAATTAACTTTTTCATTTTTTTGGGGCCTGCAAATGGGACATAGTACCTTTAAGTGCTATATGAACACAGAATGTTATTATTATTATTAGAAATGTCTACACTTTGAAACATACAACCCTACAACAAATGCAAATATGGTGCTTGAGGCAATCCAGGGGGTGTAATATAAAGACCTGCAGGTACATCATATATCTAAAAGCTTTGATAGAATACCCCAGCTTTCATTTTATACAACACCTGAGAGATACCCTGAGAGAGGCTACTCTAGATAAAATGCCTAGCGGTAGAGCATGTAATGGGCACCACAAAGTAGATCTATTCATAAACCACAGAATTTGAACCATGCTGTAGTTTTTCAGTGAACTTCAATCCAGCAGGAACAAGGGTTGACAGATATCCATCACGACTGTAAGCTGGCCTAAATATTTTCTGAAAATAGCAATCTCAGCTTAATATTTCTCCTTATAATGAATATACTATTGCAAAATAAACTTAAATTCATGATTAATTGTTGCATTTCTACAAATTAAATACATGTACAATCTAAGGATGCTCAATGGGTATTTAAAATAGAATCACTAATTTCATGATCATTGCATATGGCACATTTTCAATATCACTATGGCTTATTATCAATAAAACACAATTACATTATCTTCTTTCCAAAAATATTAGAGCATGATCACACTTTATCTTACTTACACACAAAATGTAGGAATCTAAATCGAAAATCGAAAGTAAAAGAAATCTGTAAGTAAATCTCATAAATATGTTAATGAGTGAATTAAAGGGAAAGTCCACCCCCAAAATAAGTTTGTTTCGATAGAGGCAGAATAATAAGAAAATCAGGTGAGTGAAAGTTTGAGCAAATTCTGAATGAAAATAAGAAAGTTATGAATTATTGAAGTTGTGATCAATCAAATACAAATTGGCAACTCTGTGACTTATTATACGAGCTCTCCTTCATTTGCTTTGTGCATAATATTCCATAAAATCATGTTTTCTTCGTTATTGATGACGGAATATATATTTGTTCCTTGCAGGGGGAGTATAGAAACATATTTGCAATTATTATATTTAGGGTGCATGCATGGTTGAAATTTTTCTTGAGGGAAAATGAAAATTTTAGAATTTTTTAGTACTGAGCAAATGGAAGTTGAGCTCGCATGATACGTCATAGAGTTGCCAATTTGTGTTTGATTGATCACAACTTCAAAAATCCTAACTTCCTTATTTTTAATCGGAATTTGCTCAAACTTTCACTGACTTGTTTCTCTCATTTTTCTACTCCTATTAAAACTAACTTAATTTCAGGGTGGACTTCCCCTTTAATAGAATTTCCATCAATACCAGCAATCTAAAAATGAATTCTTTTGCACCTGAAGTACAAAACTGCTCACTTCAATTCAGTGTAAATCATTAAGACATACCACAGAAGCCTTTGTATACTATTGCATAATTATTCCTCACTAGCACCTAATATCTGCATAACAAAAAAGCTATTCAAAAATATATATTTAGGGTGACACACATACATGTATAGCATCATGCTGCTCTTGCTAAATATGTTATAAAATATATTAAAAATGACCATATTTAGGGCCAAAAACAAAGTTATACCTGCAATCAATGTAATGATAACCATACTTGATTATCCAAGGACCAGAATTTGTTTGGGCTATTTTACTACCAGAATAAAGTAGTGACGAAAAATGTGCTGTAAAATTTCTAAAACTATCTCACTATTTTTCATGAAGTGTTCAATTCACAGAGACTTATTTCTTTTCTCAAATATGATCCTCTATACCATCGGTTAATCATAATCATCATAATTAGAGCATTAAAACACAAAAGGTTCTCTTCGACCTTTAACCCTGTTAAACTTATATTATATTCATCTTTGAATTGTCTAGCAAGCCTAACCCAAACCATAACCTCTTTTTGCACTTGAAGAGAAATATCCCTTTCTTTGGCTCTACAATCATTGTACATTGACATTGGTACATGAAAATATGATCCTCTATACCATTGGTATCATTTTCATAATTAAAGCATTGAACACAAAAGGTTCTCTTTGACCTTTAACCCTGTTAAACTTATATTATCTTCATCTTTGAATTGTCTAGCAAGCCTAACCCAAACCATGACCTCTTTTTGCACTTGAAGAGAAATATGCCTTTCTTTGGCTCTACAATCACAGTACATTAACATTGGTACATGAAAATATGATCCTCTATACCATTGGTATCATTTTCATAATTAAAGCATTGAACTCAAAAGGTTCTCTTTGACCTTTAACCCTGTTAAACTTATATTACATTCATCTCTGAATTGTCCAGCAAGCCTATCCCAAACAATAACCCTTTTCTTTGGCTTTATATCATAGTACTTTAACACTGGTACATGAAAATATGGTCCTCTTTACCATTGTATCATTTTCATAATTAAAGCATTAAAACACAAAAGGTGCTCCGTGACCTTTGACACCCTTTAGCTTTTAATCCATCCACATTCAATTAACCACAACTACAGGAATTTTTTTATGCACATTATGGGTCCTTGAACTGTATAACTTTTCAATATCATTTTATAATCAAACCGTCAAAATATAAACTGTATGCCGTGACCTTTAACCCTGCTTAGTCCAAACCTCACCCATCTTTGAATACAGATTTTCTTCACAATCAAGTATTAGAACAACTCACGCAGAGGGTATGTCCATGGACCGTAGCCTCAGGAATCAGCTGCAGTAGTGATATACAGTTCATGACCCTTAACCTTTGACCTTTAATGTCTATTCTCTAGTAAAGGGTCACTAGAGGTAGAGAATCCTTTGGCATCGCAGAAGTCCTTCAGTTTGGATGGATAATCGGTCATGATGCCATCGACACCGAGGGAGATAGCGCGGGACCACTCCCTCTCACTATTCAGCACCCATAAATATATCTGCACCAAAAAAAAATTAAAAAGAGATTAATAGAGTTTCGTCGTTAAATCAGAGCCATGAACAACATCTAAACTGCATGAATGGATCTCTGATTTAGGTTCTTATTCACAATTTCATTGTGATTTTGCTAGACAGGCAAATACTCTATGTTAAAGAGAATGTATACAATTATATACACTTAAAATATTGTACCAAACCATATTATTATGTTCATGAAAATGTATGATAAAAAAAAAAAGATGCAGAAACCAATAAATCTAATCAAATCAAATCAAATCAATGTCCACTTCTGGTATAGAGTTGACAAGTAATTCATGATTTCTCTTTCTTTTTATTCCTGTGTGGGAGAGTTTCATAGGAGCGACGTCATATGAAAGGGACTGCTCTAAAAATGCCCTCATACTCCAAATTTAACATGAAAAAACATTGACAATTTTTATCATAGTACTCAACTTCATCTTCACATAATGTTATGTTGATTCATCCTTTAGATTTTATTGTATTTGTAGTTTTATTTCCAAAATTACAAAGGTGGCATAAAATGTATTTCCCAAACTGTGATTTCTCTCTCTCTCTCTCTCTCTCTCTCTCTCTCTCTCTCTTCTCTTTCTCTCTCTCTCTCTCTTTCTCTCTCTAGTGATCAAGTTCTATTCACACTGTGCCATTCGATAATATTTTCAAATTTGACTTTGCACTTTGACAGAAAGCATATAGAAAGCTTTCTAAAGTACTGACCAATTTGTTTTATGAAACCATCATATACTTTGAAATTATTTGAGTCAGAAAATATAATTTTTAGTGTTTAATACCTTAATACCCCTCCTCTGAAGATGGCGAAACAGAAAAGGACGGATGAAGAGAAAATCGTAGAGCCTCAATGCTGTTTTCATTGCAGTGCTGGAATTCTGTGTCCATTCCCTGTACACAAAATAAACAAATGAATGAATATATAAATAAATAATTGAATACATAAGCAAATAAACAAACTGATATTCAGGAGGTGTATTACTGAATGATTTTTCGTAATAAATCATGAATGTACCAATAATCTTACATTTTTGGTACTCTCTGTACTCTTTACCAGTTTATACTATGTGGTATAGTTTGCTTTTGTAAACTTTTGGTGAAAAAATATACTGTTTAAATAAATGTTAAGAATATGAATGCATGGCCTGATACTGATGAGTCTACCCTGGTAATGAAGACCCTGCTTCTACTACTCATGATAATAATAAAGAAGAATAATAAAAATGATAATAATAATAATAATAATAATGATAATAATAATAATAATAATAATGATGATAATGATGATGATAATAATAATTATAATAATACTACTAATAATATTAAAAATAGTAATATTTATAATAACATTTATGATATTATTAATGATCATTATGATGACCATGGTAGTGATATTGATGATCCTCCTCCTCCTCCTCCTTATCATCTTCATCAATATCATCCTCATCGTCATCATCACCATAATCATCGTTGTCACCAACATCATCATCATCCTCATTATCATCATCATCATCATCATCAACAACATATCATCATTATCATCGACATCATCATCACCATCATCAAGATCATCATCATCATCATCATCATTATCAACATCATCATCATCATCATTATCAACATCATCATCATCATTATCAACATCATCATCATCCTCAACATCATCATCATCATCATCATCATCATCATCAACATCATCATCAACATCATCATCATCATCATCAACATCATCATCAACATCATCATCATCATCATCATCATCATCATCATCATCATCAACATCAACATCATCATCAACATCATCATCCTCATTATGATTTGTCATGATCTTCTTACAAGTCTTTTACGAGTGTCCCTGTAGGTATCTCCAGGTAAGATTCCTTGAGAGGCACAAACGGTAGTAGACCAGAATAGGTGAGCAGGAACAGCTTGAAGATACTCGTCAGACCAAAGAGAAGAGGGATTTCTGGAGCCTTTGGGTAATAAATAAGTTTAAATAAATAATAATGAATTAAAATAATTACCTTACTATTTAAAAAAAAAAAATAATAATAATTAAATTCTTAGCCACATGTGCATAGAAGCATCATTACAATAGAGGTTTTTTTTTATATTATTGTGAAATGTTAATATCTAATCAAGAAAAGTCGTGGAAAATACATGTATATGTCAATTAAATGTAACAAAAATAGCAAACCTTACTGAAAACCACAGACCCTGAAATTTGGAAAAACATATATATGCCTAGGACAAAGTTTAGACATACCGGTAGTCACAACTTTTCATGAAATGCTTTGCTTATGTTTACCTAACAATAAAAGATTTTATTCTAAAATAGTGCAAAAATGCAAATGCAATTAATTCTAAATATATCGGTGGCAATAAACTGTGCATAAAACTAACATCTGTTATTCCATATAGTATTAAGCTAAGGATTGACAGGACACTTTAATTAAGATGAGATTTTTTTTGTTGCACAATGACCGGGGAGAATACCTTGGAAGTTTGACAAATACAACCTTTTAAATGCTGTAATCGTTTGATTATGTTTTTACTTCAATGTAAACCAACTGCAATTACATAAGACAACAGTGTTCAGTGGTGCGTGACCTAGAACCATGACCTAGAAACATTAAAGGGATCCGGTAACTCTGTCTTAGATCCTTTAGAAATAATCCTTGATTTAGCTCATGCTGCAATGATAATTATCACCTTTAGGTCAGTCAGGAACTCCATGACTTTTACAAGCCGATCGCCTGTCTGATTATCAAGATGTTAAGAATTGGAATTACAAATTTTGAAAAACGTTCGCCGAACGGTTTTCATAGCACTATAGTCTATTGGGGAAACCATGTATGGTAAAACCGGTCACTGAAAGGGGCTTTTTTTAGGGCTTCAATATTACACCATATCACAGACACTGGTAACATGTAGGACCATGTACCTCAGATTTAACATTGGTAAACGATCCCTTTAAGGAGTAAAGAAATTCTACTTGATATCAATCATATTGAGGGTGAAGTAATCTTACCGCATTGATTTATTTGATATGAAGTTCAATTAAGTCATTTTTTTGAAACCCACTGTATGAATCGTATAATGGTTTACCTTTTTATGTACTTTATCACCAATCTTGCTGTCAAAGTTGCCTACAACAGTAATGGTCTCCCTCTTGTATTCTTTGATGAGATCCAACACCTTGGGAGAGAGAAAAAAAAGACAAAATATATCTCTTTGAGCATGTTAATGTTAAAGGGAAAAATAAACAGGATAGCAGCTAAGAAAAGTTAAAGAAATGTATAAATGTTCTCTTTACTATGCACAATTTCCTTTGAAGTACTTACATGAAAATCTTGTTTATTAATGTTCCAAATTTTCTAGAGTTAGTGTGATAGCTTTTTCTTTCTCTTTACATCTCATCTAGCCTTTACCATTCCTTTACTGCATTCTCACACATTCCTCTGTTATCTCCCTCTTTCAACAATTCTCCCTCTCTCTACCCCTCTTTCTTTCTTTCTATCTCTCTCTCTCTCTCTCTCTCTCTCACTCTCTCTCTTCATTTTTAATGCATTGTGTGCTCTTACCATAATTTATAAATTCATTGATTGTTCCCCCTCTGACTTCTATCTTCTCCCCCCCCCCCCCTCCTCTTTCTCTCTTCATATGTATGTCTGTAGCTCTATATTCTCCAATCTGTTGTTCTATCCACCACCCCTTTTTCTCCCCCTCTCTCTTTATCTCTCTCTTTGTCCCTCTCTCTCTCTCTTTCTTTTTTTTCTTTCTTCCTCTCTCTTTCTCTCTTTCTACCTACCTTTCTCTCTCTCTCTCTCTCTCTCTCTCTCTCTCTCTCTCTCTCTCTCTCTCTTATAAAACATTGTGCTTACCCCATTTATCAGTTCCTCATCATTCCTCTTGATATCAAGGTTGATGGGGAAGTCTTTAAACTCTTTAAACACCTCACTCAGGAGGGGAATATGTCGGTCTGAAGACTCTGATGTACACATGCCTCCTGTATTATCAAAGGAAAGAGATGGGTGAGGGTTTGTGAGGGAGAGGAGAGTTAGTCAAGTGTTACAGTTGACTCGCTGGTTTCTGAATCTGTTGGATCCTATTTTCAAACCGAGCCATGCGTTTTGGAAGGTGACATTAAAGGGATTGGGTAACTTTGCCTCAGATTCTTAAAAAAAACCTGGATTTAGCTCATGCTGCAATCATAATTATAAACCTTTTATAGGTCTTTTACAAGCCAATTGCCAGTATATTGGGAAAAATGAGTATGGTAAAACCGGTCACTCAAAGATTTTTTACTTTTTGAGGCACTTCATGATCATTTTGAAGTGCAATTTTTTAGGGCTTCATTATTACACCATATATTACAGACACTGAGGCATGATGCACTGATGCCATGCATCTCAGATTTAACATTGTTACACGATGCCTTTAAAGATTGGTCCCAGTTGTAATTACTATCCTATTAATCCATGTCTGACAATTTACACACATTTTGGAATGAGCAAGGGGTGGGAGTAATTGCTGTATAACACATGCTTGAACTTCAACGTTACGTTTCTGTAACAATTCATCTGTTTGATGCAAGTAATGACAACATCTTACCATTAGTAAACGTTACAGCCAGTGGACAGCACATGGTCGGCAAATCCTAAAATTAGACAACATAATGACGATACTGTTACATTTGTTGCATTGAATGTATCAACCAAGGTTGTAAAGTTGTAATCTAAACTCCTCAATTGCTACAATTCAAGTTTGAGCCATTGATATCTCGTCTTTCAATGTACTATCATGACTTAATTTGATACCATAATAAAGCCTGTTTCTTTCCCTTTACAATAATGTTTTAATAATATTTAATCATGGATTGTACAATACACCTGAAAATGGGGCCAAGCCAAAAGGAAATGTTGTAAAATGCATTGTTATAGTTAACAGTAAATTCTTTATTTGTTTCAAGAGTGGATTGTGTTCTGAGCGGGGGTGGGGGGGGGGGGGGGGGTTATTCACAAATGCAATGATGTTTTCTTCTTTTGTTTGGAAGATGAAATGTGCCTTAAATGATGTTGAGGTCTGGCAATGCTTACTCTTACGGAATGGCCATCTCAATGTCATTCGAAACTTCACTGATCTGAGTCTTCTTTTGCATCAAAAATTACATTTAAAATTTAAACAAACTTTATTCAAGAGGCCCTTGTTTTTCTTGTTTTCCTGCTTTTTATTAAAACTACCTACATTTATACACCAGGGCCCGTCTTACAAAGAGTTGATATCAATCGGAACTATGTACATAAGATATATTGAGTAGGAGACTGCAAACGTGCGATTGAATGGAGGACTTGCGATTGATTTGATTTGGATCAATCGTAAACTCTTTGTAAGATGGGGCCCAGGGTGGACTTTTCTTTAAAATCTACTCTTATTTGACATGTATAAATTACCTCATAATTGGTGTCCTGTATAAGAGCGTCTCCCCCGGATGCCCTTGATAGGTGATCATCGTGAGACACCACTATCTGTTTATCCTTGGTGATCTGACAATCCAACTCCAGCATCTCCATCCCAATACTCCTTGCACTGGCAGATATGGAAATCAATCAATAACACCAGTAATAATGATAATAACAGTCAAACTGTCTATATAGCAACCGCCCAAAGGAAACATAAAAAGTGGTCTTTGTAGACAGGTTCCTTTATTACATGTTTCAATGAGAAACCATTTTCAAAGGAAACAAAAAATGTGGTCTTTGTAGACAGGTGGTCAATAAAGCAGGTTTGACTGTACTATTAATAATAACAATAATAATAATGTTATTAATCATAATAATATCACTACTACTACTACTACTACTACTACTACTACTACTACTATTAATAATAATAATAATACCAACAATTATAATGATAATTATGATGATGACGGATATGATAATTATGATTTTAAAAAAGACAAATGTCAACCCTATATTCTCCCCCCCCCCCCCAAAAAAAAGCAGTTTCATTCACCCTACCAACCTCTCCTTATAATGAAAAACCATGCATATATATATATTCATCTTGGCTAAAGTGTCTGTCATTACACTCACATAAAGCTCCACTACTTATCATCTATTCCACTCAAAATGTATATCTCTTTGAGTGATTTTTATCATTTTTGAATCTTGACCTAATTATGAAATCTGTTTACTCACTGTTTGAATGCTGTGATTGTGTTTTCAAAATTTTCAGCTGCACCTGTGAATGCAATAGAGTAAGAGTGTGCAAGAGAGAGTGAGAGATAGAGAGATAGAGAGAGAGAGAGAGAGAGAGAGAGAGAGAGAGAGAGAGAGAAATTGAGATGTGTTGGTTACAAATACTTTTGTTTTTCTTGAACAAACATTAGACTAGCAGACGGACCTACTGTGTTCGACTACAGACTAGTTCTACTTCTACTAGTACTATTATAGACTCAACTTATGTACTCTAGTCTAAATCTAGTCTAGGAATACTTTTAGTTTAGTTTCAGGTCTGCTTCAAATTAGAAAATATAGATCTAGGCCTAGTCAGGCCCCTGCGCGCCTAGTGCCACCCTCATTCCTTATGGCAAGGCAATGCAGACTGCCGAGCCAAGGCAAGGGCCTTGCCAATAAGCGAGGTCGTAATTGCACACTGCGCCTGCGCCAAAATCAGGAACAAACTTTTCAAATGGTCACATGAACATAAAGAGAGCTGAGAGAGGAACTGTGATTTGTTTGTGTGCTGGCCTTTCCGTTATGAACGATCACATCTGACACATCAGTCACCGAAAATCATTTCTGAATGTCGGAGTTGGTTCTATTACATTTTACTTGGAATCTGAAAATCGGTAAAGTATTATATCAGCATTAAATATAACTTTCATTAAATTCTGTTTTAAATGATATTACTGATTTATTTAGTCAAGCCAATTCATTCACTTATTCAGTCAAGGATCATTGAGTTTTAAATGGTGCCAAACTTGACTAGTTACATAACAATGTAAGAGAGAAAGAGAGGTTATCTCTAAAATGAAATGAAAGAACTCTTGAAAGTAAAATAGCCTTTTAAATTTCTAAAGAAATAAACTCTAATCCATCCCTTGATATTCAAATTGCACTGCTCCTATTGTGTGCCTTTTTCAAACTCTCCCTGATCTATAATGGATTCTTTCTTTATTTGATCTTCAACAGAAACACAATTCTAAGCCCAAAACCTTTTGAAGCGTGACCAGATTCAAAGTATGCTTAAATGGGGGCATTGATGTAGAAAAAACAGGATTAAGATCCCATGCAACGCTTTGAAATGTAAAAGAAGAATAAGAAAAATTAAGTTGAGATTCAACCTTTATGTCTAGATGTTGCATAATGCAATTCGTATTGGTATTATCTTCCATCTCAGAGTTATTTTAATGGTTAATAGTTTAAGCTGTCCAGGTTTTTGAAGATAACGCTTCAATACAAATCGACCAAGCTGTTTATTTCTTTATTCATGGTCTGTTTCTAATGTTTATCTACTTTTATTGCGAGCCCTCGAAAACAAATTTATTATGCATTTCACAGAGGAAAGTTTGCATAGGAGAACTATATATCTCTCTATACAGTGCGTCCCAGAAAAAACGAAACCGATTATTATTAATGTTTTATCATACTTAAGTCACATTTATAATTAATAAATGACACATATTTGGAAAGCTTAGATCCTCCTCTTTCATTTAATGCAACTCATATGATGCATATTTCATGCATGAGTGATTAAAATCATTTTGAAGAGAGGAAACCGAAAAGTCATTTGGCGGGCAGTATCTGAATTTCAAAGAGAAAATCACATTTCTAGAAAGTTGGGTTTCTGCCCTTTCATATGACACCTGAAATTTGCATTATATGAGTTGCATCAAACGAAAGAGGAGGATCTAAGCTTTACATCATTTATCAACTATAATTGTGATTAAGTTAAGATACAACATCGATACTTCTCGGTTTCGTTTTTTCTGGGACACACTGTATATGTATGTATACATACACAAATTATTTATTGTGCTTATTTTGCTTTTTAATGGATCCGTACAATATGGCACAGCTTGAGGGGCCTGGGGGGTCAGAGCCCCAGGATGCTCTCGAGTTTATTTGACTCTCAAGAGAAAGTGTCTCTAAGAGAGAAAGAGAGGTTATTTCTTAAATGAAATTAAAGGACTCTTGAAAGTCAAATAGCCCTTTCATGTCATTTAAATAAACTCTAATCCATCCCTCATTATCTTCCATTTGAAAGTGATTACCGGTATAGAGGTTGTTTATATGGATAATAAAGATAAAGCTGTCCGGGTATTTAAATATAATGCTTCAAAACAAAATGACCCTCGAAAACGAATTTATTATGCATTTCACGGAGGATAGTGTGCGTAAGTGAACTTCAATCGAATTTCACATTCTAAGTGGTTTACTATTCACTCAATTAATGCCCAAAACTATCTAAAACCAAAGGGAATATATTGTTGAGCAATTTAGTAAGGCAGCCAAAAGTTAGGATTTTCTTTCTTTTGTAAGAGCACTCTTTTTTTTCATTCCAATTTTGGAGGGAATTTTAGCAGTGACGCAGCCAGCTGGTGAATAAGCGGGGGGAGGGGGGGCACTTTTTTCACAATTCGTAAGAGGGAGAGGGGGCCGGGCCCGTCGCCCCCGACCCCCGACTTACTGTACACCATGAGGAATATACTCCTCTGTGATCCTCTATGAGAAATTTGATGATTTTAACATGTAAGGGGATCTCGGCGACAAGGAATAAACAGTTTTCTAGTGTTTAGAGTCATATTATTTGATCATATATTGAAGTTACCTGGAGGTGTTAAATGAATATTTGCTGTTATAGTTTATCACTAACATCAAAAGAATCTGACTAAAAACACTATGAAACTGTTTATATTTTCCTCTAGGTGCGAGTCCCCCTTGCATGTTAAGATCATCAAATTTCCAATAGGACGGGACTTACACCACGAGGAATATACTCCTGATTGATTGATTGATTGATTTTTATTCGCCATGCTTCCAACATACAACAATATACTGTACATGTACAAGAATAATCAAAATTAAGTCAGCTTGAACAGGATATCCTTCGAAAGCTCAAGAGCTTATATTTAGTGGGGTCCCGACAGTCATGTACAAAATTAATGAGTTAAAGTAGTAATACATTTACAGACAGATAAGCAAACAAAACTTATGAAAGATAATAATGATGATAATAATAACAACATTAAATGATAGAAATGATAATAAGTATTAAGTACAAGAACAAAAACATTTCATAAAAATTCATCGATCAAATTCAAATTTTTGTTAAAAAAGGGGGAAAAAGGGAGAGGTGTAGGAGAGGGAGAGTTGGAGTGATGACAAAGAGAGAGAAAGAGAGAAAGAAAGAGAGAGAGAAGGAGAGAGAGAGGGGGAGGGAGAGGGAGAGAGAGGGAGAGAGAGGGAGAGAGAGGGAGAGAGAGGGAGAGAGAGAGAGAGAGAGAGAGAGAGAAAGAGATGAAGAGGGGAAGAGACAGCAAAGGGTACCTTATCATTGCAGATGAGGGGAGATGGCAAGAAATATTCAGCAATGCAGAAAATCAAGATAAAAACTATCAAAAGTCATTCACATATAGTTCAATAATGGACTTTTCAAATTCTAAAAATACAATCTATATTGGTATTACATTTTATTAAGAAGATTTATAAAGTAGGGCCTAAGGAAGAGAGCTGCACTGGAAGCGTTTTGTTTTGCATTGGTATTGTTTAAACTTTGATTGAGATCTTAGAGAATAAGTGCTTTGTTGTCTAAGAGGTAAACATTCAAAAGATAGAAAGCACGGCGAACAGCCAGTAAAACATACACTAAACAGTGAAGGACGAACACACTCACAATTTTTCATGTAGCCCTACATGTAGTGTACATTACGCAGAGCGTACAAGTGAACGGGCAAGTTTATGTTCATGTGACCTATGACACGTTGACGTCATACGACTCCAGTGGCTATTTACGAACTCACTTATTGCCATGGGCCCAAGTAGAGTGCTGTCAAACTTGACACGAGTCATTTACCTTTACCGCAAATACTGGAAGAATGCTGAGACAGCAGTCGAGCTTCCAGGACCAGGTCTATCTTCTTGGCTAGCTATCTTCTTGTACTCATTCTCTTTAATAGTCATTCTCATTCTAAACAAGTCAGGGCTCAGGCAGAGGGGCAAGAGGTTGCATCTTGACTGGACAATGTACCACGATTGACTATTGTCAAAAAGTACTAGGCCTAGGCCTATTAGATCTAGGTCTAGACTAGTATTATTTGTTCATGCAAAAGGGCGATTATTAATTTGACTAGACTAGACTCGATCTAGATCTAGGGTCTAGACCCTACTACTAGATGATAGATCTAGGTTATATTGGTCATTTTCTATACCAAGACGTTGTGTATACAGACAGTTTATTTGAAACAGCAATTTGATAAAGTTTACAGGCAATATTTCATCAATCTTCTAAGACTATGTTGGACAATGAAGGACCACGAGCAAGTGCCTGCATGCCCCGCCTCCCTTAATGATTAACTACAGCACAGTACTAATCCCACCCCGGGAGTTTAGGGAACACCTTATCGATGAAGTCACTTACCTCCACGGTGGGCAATGAGCTTAGCATTAAACTTTGATTTCTTCTTTAAATGAATTAAAGTCGGAAATCTGAATAATACGGTAGATACAATGATATATCCGCCAAACAGAGACAACGGTATAGCGTATGCGAGAGTACTCATTTTGAGAAAATATGATTAACGAGAATTTTTTGACGTGTAAACAATGACTTCGCAAATTCAATTTTCGACTGCTAGCTCTAGATCTATCTATACCGGTGAGTCAACGTATAAGCTCGTGCTAATTCGAGGGACAAATCGAGCGCCATCTGTTGTTCCAATTTATGTGACAGAATAAAGTCGACGAAAAACAATGGCAGACAGAGTAACGCAACTTCAAGACGCTGTTAATCAGGTAAAAGTTTATTTTTGTGACCAGAATATGTTATCATGGTAATTATAATTTGTATAACATATTTAACATTGTTTAGTTGACGAAGAAGTATATGTTGGAAAGTAAATCCAGCCGGGTCCGGGTGAGGATTGAACATTTTCTCTTGCCGCCCCACCCGTTTATTTTTGTGCTGTGTGAGTGTCAACTAAATTTTTGTTTTGTTTAGGGGGTCTAGATCTAGATCTAGTCTTCAGAAAAATAAAATAAGTTGAAATATCTTTTTTGAATTTCTAGATGCGATTATGAACAAAACTCAAAAGCCTGCAGCCATTGTCATGATTGTTTTTGTGAAATGTGATGTAGGGTCTACGTTCATTCCACACTAACTTTACAAAGTCAATGCCTATGGCTATGCCATGCCCATGGCGCATCATTATAAATTATAAAATGGCTCTAGTATTTTAAGCATCGTGATTGGTCAATACGCGTCACATGACATTGAAAATTTTTTGATGCAAGCACGATTTTGCAGAAATGAGTGCAGAAAAAGCGCAGTAAAAAGTTATATTGCACGGTGCGTACGTGACCATGGAGATCCAGTGCGCGCGCGTACGCGTAGTACTAGTACGCTCCCTCGAGTGCATTGTAGGCTATAGGCTACGCGTAGCTAATATTGTACGCTCCACGCACCATGATCCCCAGCGCAGCGTACGCGTAGCTAGCTTAGCTCTAGCTAGAGCGGGGTATTATTAGAAAGCAAATTTTTATTTTACTTTTGCCTTGGATTTAGACCCGTTTTGACTTTTGGATTTTATAATGAAGCCAAGAATTTCAGCTGTCTGATGTAGACTCGTCTCTAGACACCCTATGCATTTTATTTTTAATCAAACAATGAATCCCGTGGACTTTTCGGTAAGCCTGCAAGGTTTTACTTTTAGACCCTCATTTTAGTCTAGTAGAATCTAACGTTACTACTAGATCTAACTTAGATCTAGTAGAACCAACATAACTCTAGACTTCTAGATCTAGATCGAACTCTCGTATACTTAAGATCTAAACTTTTGTTTGTTGCTGTTTGTGTCGCTATTTTATAAAACAAATAACGCACTTGACCCTGTTGTGCGAAACGTAAATGCAGTGTTCGCTCGGTTTCTTCAGATGGTTCGCACTGTCAACTCGCCGCAAGCGGCTCGTTGCACAGAGCGGCACCAATCTAAAGAAACCTCGCGCGTACTGCATTCACCGCTATTGCACTCTGGGCCGTGCGTTATTTGTATATTATCGAACACTTGGAAGTATCTTCATTCCACATGTACGGTCCAGATTTTTCATACGAGGGTGTGCATGCGCACAGAACAAGTAGTTTCCTATTTCACGCTACATACAAGTTAGTATGATGAATTATAAAATAGCTCTAGTATTTTAAGCATCGTAATTGGTCAATACGCGTCACATAACATGCACCTTTTTTGTGAATGCACGATCGTGCCTAAAAAGCGCAGTCAAAAGTATCATTGCACACTCCAAGATCGATATCCTGCACAGCGTACGCGTAGAGCAAGTAGCAGGGTCTTATCTTTTAATTTTTCGAGAACCAACATAAATCTCCAAGACTCGAACGTTAGATCTAGACTTTCGTTTGTTTTGATTTTCATGTGTCGCTATTTTATAAAACAAATAAATAACGCACTTGCCCCTGTTGTGCGTAATTTAAATGCAGATTCAGCCGTGCGTTATTTGTGTAGTAACTCCCAAATTCACATTTTTCAAAGTGATCATGAAATCCTTTTTTTTTTGGCTAAGCAAATGTATTAAAAAACTATTTGTCATCACTTTTCTTATGTCATTAGATTCATGATACTGGTATATATGTTGTTTAATGCAAAAGCAAAATGAAGATATTAGATCTACAGCAGTGGCAGTGGATAATAAATCAGATCAAATGTACGCCAAATATGTTTTCTTCATTAATTGCATTTTTGTTGTTGCTTTGTACAGCTAGCAGAGCACATGTGTAACAGCATTGGTGTACTGCAGCAGAGTGCTCAGCCGTCAAAGTTTCCTGGGTGTGAGAAGCAAGGTATACTTGTCTTTCATATAAGATCATGATTCTTTCCTATGATTCTTTCCCCTATTTTGTAATTCCTTTTGTAGTTACGGATTAGTTCATTTAATTACTCATTATTCCTAAGTATCATTTGAGGTGTTCACACTTGTACAGGCATTGGTTTTTAGTGGACCCCTGTTTTCAACATGTATTTCTTACATTTCTTTTAAATGCTTATAATTGATTTGTAATGTTTTGTTGGAAACATGAATAAATTGAAAAAAAAGATTGTAATAAAAAAAAAAAAAATGTTGTTGAGCCTCTTGCAAAGTTATGGCCCTGTTTGATTTTACTACCATAAAACATTGGGCAATTTTCTGTAACCTGCAAATAGATCCTTCTGATAAATTTCTAACATTTTGCTCATGTGTATTGAAGTGTAAAGATTTTGTGTTATAGTCATTACCAGTTCAATTCATTTTTAAATATAGAATAGTTATGTGAATTATAGTAAAAATTTGTGAAGTTGCAATCAGAATTGATCATGCCATAGGCCTAACCTTGTAGCAAGTTTTTGAAGTCAAATTAGTATTTTGGTTCTAAAATAACACAGACTGGTTCATTACCACTGTACACCTGAAAATTTAAAAAAAATACAAGTACAAATATTTTTAAAAGTCACTTTTGAATTCAGACAGTCGTTTTACAAATGCTTAACTTTTGTAATGCTAGCACAAGAATGTGGAATTGATACCATACAACACAAGTAAAAAGACCATGCAACAAATTGAGACTATTCTTAAAATTTACCCCTGTATTAGATAGAGTGACTTACTACATTGACTTGACAAGTGTTTGCCACTCAATCTTTCTTTAACCCTCAGCCTCCCAAGAACAGCAGCCCAACCATGAAGATTACACCCAGCTCTTTGCTCAGCTGATAGCAAGAACAGCCAAGGATATAGATGTACTGATAGACTCACTTCCCAGTGAAGAATCTACTGTTGAACTGCAGGTAATAATGATTATTTAGTGTATATTTGGTATTCTATATAAATTATATGTATAATTCTGTTACAAAAATTCAAAGGCATAGGCTCCTCCAATGAAGTCAGTAGTTTCACATTTGCCAAAACGGTTAAGTTTTGATGCATGATTTGAAGTATTCTGGAATGTCAATCTCACGAAGAGAAAAAGGGAGTGAGTTCCACAAACGAGGAGCAATGGATAATAATAATAATAAGAAGAAGAATACAGTCACTCATCCAGGTTTTCCAGCTATCATGGGAATTAGGGAAAACCTTGAAAATGAGTTTCCTTTTTTTCCAATCATGGAGAAGTTGGGTGTTATGAGAGAATCATCCAAAGCAGGGATTGATTAGGGTATTTCATTGGCCTCCAAAGAGAGTAGACAGCCTCTTGCATTTCCCCCTTTCCATGATGAGAAAATGTTGTGAAGATGTTCTGTACAACAGAATGTAAATTTACCAATGAATTAAGTTTTTAAATAGATACAAAACACAAGAATGCACACTGAAAATAGGTTTGAATAATGATCATGGAATTTTGAGACCAGCAGGAAAAAATCAGAAAATATCAGGGCAATTAGTTTCTATGAAAAGCCTGAAACCTTGTCATAGAGACATACTGATATTTGAATGGGAAAAGATATATGTTAATAAAGTCTAGCCCAAATAGTACAATGATAACCCAAACAATATTTTCTCTTGATATGTGATGCTATTTAACTTGTTATTATTGAGTGATTATTCTTTATTTGTAAATAATCAACTAATCTTGAATCCTTGACAAGCTTTTGCAATAGTTGGTTGACTCCATTTATTGAATGCATACTTATTGTCACATCAATTTTCATTGTAAAAAGACAACTGAATGAATGAATGAATGAATGAATAGCAAGAGGTGTGTTTTCTCCCATTCAGAATGCCAGTCTTCAGAGGCTCGAAGAGGACAATGAGATAGCAGCCAAACGTCTTGGCGAGGTCGTCGAGAGGGGAGAGCTCCTGCTTCACCGCATCCAAGAAGCCCTTGCTGAGATCGCCGACGCCCAACTCAAGACCAAGAGTTCCTCCTCACTGGCAGCATCGTTATCGTCTTCATCAGGTGCTGCAGCATCAGCATCATCGTCAACTCCATCATCGGCGTCCAGCTCATCTTTGAATGTGAGCGCAGCTTCGTCAATGAATGGCACAAATTCTTGAGATTTCTTTTCATCAGGTATCCAAGATTTGGTATTTTTCCTGACTATTGAACTGATATCTTGGAGGTAAGGTGTACATAGTCTGTAATCAAGGCAGGGCCTTCTGCTTCTGATTATTACTACAATCACACTCCAATACTGGATGAAGTTGTTGCAGGTGCAATTAAGGCTAGCAGAAAGTTGATGATGGACCTTTCCTAGGAGTCTAGATCTTTGAATCTACGATTTTACTTTGACCTTGAAATGAGTTGACAGATGTAGATTTGTCAAGGGCTCCTGAGTCATTAATATAAAGGATATGCACAGTCTCCAGTAGCTTTCATTGCCACTGATTTTACAGAAGAGCTGGGGTGGAGAATGCAGAGAAGACTGTGCTCCCATTTTATGAACATTTCAACTCGCCATGTGAATGATCACCTGTACAACTGAGAGAGGAAATCTATTTGGTGCAATGGCTACAGGGGTTGTACACCATTTCCATTTCAAAAGAGCCAGTGATGGTCATCGTGAATGCTGTATTAAATGTGACAGACTGTATTACTGGTGAAGATTTGACATGGATGACCACTCTGAATGACTTTGTTTCTTCTAATCTACAATAAAGGGGTACAGTATATTTTCTAGCCATTTGTGACAAACCACAATATTAGAGTGAGAAAGGGAGAAAAAAGGGGTCTATTTTAGTATACCCAGTGTACTTGATTACCATCACCTCCCCCTTTTCTGGGTTGTGTATTTCATAAGATGGAGATGAAGACATATAGAACAATAGTCCTACACAAGCACTACAAACAATCCTTTACATTACGTTGTGTCAAACAAATTAGACTTGGGCCAACCAAACTTGTAAACCAGTCCAATTAGTGTCTGTTTGGTGCCAGAGGGGCATTACATTTGTGTAGAATGAAACAATTTAATACTCTTCTGGCTCCAAACAGACATTATTTGTTTTTATCTAAAGAGGTTTTTTTTAAATCAAGTAGGAAGGATAAAACCATATATACTTGTACACAGTAAATGTAAAAATTCTGTTACAGGCTAGGTTGAAAAATTATAATAAGCTTATGAAGCATGTGAATGAATATTAGGATTCTCACAAAAATGTGGAAAAAAGTTTAAAATTATGTTTTTCTTGAATAAATTTCTTTTTATATATCATTGTTTGTACATTTGTATACATGTATAAAGCAGAGAAAATAAAATGCTTGAGAGGGTTTCAAAGCAGAACTCAAATCTTACTTTGTTATTCTTTTATTTCATCCATTTTGTATCAATGCGTGTTATTTAATGTTTTCTATAATTTCTAGATGTACAGTAGGTAATATATGAAGAGCAATTATCCACATATCTCCAGTTTCTTTGAAAAAATTGTTCCATATGCTTCCCAGATTCTTAATTGTAAAATCATGAATTGAAATTTGACATTATTTATTCTTCATGAGGTTTCACAATTAAGGATTTGAAACAATTAAGACACAATGCTGTCCTAAAATGAAAGAATATAATTACCACAATACCACCCCAAGAAGCAAGCTTTTGAACACTTGCTTTCTCAATTACGAACATATCCTCAGTATACATCTATCTAACATTATCTAAAGATAATAGACCGTAGCCCATAACTTTAATCTCCAAAACATTTTTGTTATACATTCTTTATGAATATCATTTTATTTATTTCTGTGTTAGGTTTTATCACTCTTTGCATATGCATAGTGGGTGTATCTCTGCATAGAAATTACACAGGTTATACAGTGGAAACTAGTACAAGGATCATGAAAATTGAAAAATGCTCTTATGCCAGGTACCGTGTTATATCAGGATAAAGGAAACGAGAGAATGTAGAAAGTGCTGGGACCAGCAAAATAAGTTAGTTATATGGCAGGTATCTCTTGCTATGTCAGAGCCCTTTATAGCAAGTTTTAAAAGTTTATTTAATTATTATTATTCAACAAATACACCTGTCTCTTTGCCCTTATTCAAAATCTAAACAAAAGTACAATACATTACTGGGTATCAATATTAACAACTTCCTTTTATTTCATAAAATAATGCCACATCAGTACATTCATAATCCTCATCAAATATCTCATACACATGGAATATAAAGAATTCATATGTATACATAATTTAATTATATATGATCTTGCCAAACCTACAATGTAGGTGTTCTAATGTAAATCCACAACATAAAAAATTAAGAACTGTCAAGATTAGCAAAATATGTATGAAATCAGACCAACAAAATTTGAATATTCTATAGGAAAAATCTGGAATCGAAAGAGTGGAATAATACTACCTTGCATAAAATTTGAATATACTGGTCAAACATATTGCTCTCACTACAACATTTTAGAACTTCAATTCAACTGAAAATCACTGAGGTATGAATAGTCTACTTATATATTAAGCATCTCATAAAGCATACAATATAATGTACAAGCATTTTCTGGTAAATAACGGTCGCTTTTAAAAAATGGTCGGTTTTAAAATATGCATTATGTTGGAAGTATGCAAATAGAATGATCAATTGAAGTAAATTGGAAAGTGAAAGAAATATACATACATGTATTATACAGGTACAAAGACAAATTATATTTTACTGTACCCCCTTATAGTTCTAAACACCTTATAGAGAAAGTCAGAAACACTTCACACTTTCTTATTTCAATATTCATTATCAGCTTTTCATCGTCAGCCTTCATCAATTTGTCTATTTCTGTTAACAAAATAACAACTGAATAGAAACTCTAACTTGATTCCTAAGTTTCCATCAGTTTCTAATGGTTCATGTCCAATTACAGTTCAGGTTTCAAAATAATGGTACAAACCCACACTCGCATACACCAACATATTCTCTCATACACATTTCCAGCCGAGTGATTAGACCACTCGACTATGACGCCTCAACAATGGCATAAATGTTGTAGACTCAATTATACATTGGTTCTTTGAATGATTCCAATACAATTAATTGCATGCAATTTGACAAAACACCTGATATGAAAGTCTATCAGTGTCCATCACACACTAAACATAGATACCGGTATAGAAATTGACCTCTACAATTCTTAATTTCTGTTCGAATGCACAAGAATTGAAAGGTCAAAAGTAGACCCTGCAGCATTTTTTTTTATTTGTTTGCTTGTTTGTCAAGACTCTAAGATTTACTCAAAGTGCTGATGACAACAAATTTACATTATACTCATTTGTTGCATCCCCACACATAATATTCCATCAACTCTTTTGAAGTACAACATACCTGTCATAACTGAATGCTTGTTATACATTTCATACCAACTAATCTTATAAAAAGAGTGACTATAGATAATGCATTTATTTCAAGCTTTGCTTAAATATTATGGTACATACTGTATGATGTATTAATTTTTCAAATATATTAATATTCAGACAGCCTCTTACAAATATATTATCTTATGATCAAGGAACATGTAATTTGTATCAACAAGTTAAAAAAAAATGTTATTTTCAATGCACTGACTACTGATAACTCTCTTTGAAGCTGGTAATGAATTTCTAAAATTTTCTTTTGGCAAGCTTAATAATTTTCTGAGTTGGAATCTTGACTCTATACACAACTCTCAAAAGAGCATGGCTAAAACACATAGTGACACAATGTCCAGTAAACTTGGCCACCTCCCCATTTTCACGCCATATTTCACAAAGGTGTGACTGTTCTAACCGGATTTACTTTTTATGAAACTTGGCATGATGGCATTATTTACATATGGATTGCTTAGAATAAAGCCATATAATTTCTTATTCAATTTTCCATTTGCTCTAATTCACATACAGATCATTTTGTTTTCTTAAAGGCCCACCGCACTACTTGTAGCTACTTGCGCCCTCTATATAACAAACAATGCCTAATCGGTGACCATTGGTCCCCCATGATCCTCTTTTTCTTATGTTAACTGATAGCTGAGTTGATGAGATAACCACCTGTCCAGTGACCTTGTAGGGCGGTCTAATCCCTCCTGTAAACTATGGCAGATAAGCTTTAAAACAGAGTGCAATAGTTGTATTCATTAGTTTACATGCTTCCTCATAGACATACCGGTATATGTATACCAATTTTATAGCTTACAGTAAGAACCTGAATTTCACACATACGGATCAATACAATTTGCACTATCATGTTTTAGAGTGTTTCACAGTATTCACACACACGTTTCATTACAAGGCAATCACAATATTTTGAGATAATTCTTACTTATTCTTTTTATAGTTATACATGCTACGCAAAGGAAGAACTAGGAAGATTGTCCGAGAATTATTTTGTTAACAAACAAAAAGGAAAAAGGAAACAAAGGCAGTACAAATTTGATGCAGTGTTGGGTAAAATTTGATTACATTTAGCAGTCCAATAAAGCAAGGGATCATTATTTGCAATCATCAATAACAATGTCTGAGTTCATGGTTCCTGACAAGTTATTTATTTGTTCCACTACCATTTTTGATGTGTGGTTGCTGGGATACTCACAAGCTAAGAATCATGATGGTTTTTCACTAACTGGTCTATATATTTCTTTTCATGACAGCACAACAACTTAAGAACAATTGCCTGGCATAGAAACAAGTCATCCATGTAAGGTAGAATCCATAAGACTTGTTATACTTAGAATTTGAATGAAATATTCATTGATAAAATATGAAAAATTGAATGAACGATATTGAGCATGTTAGCATGTTAGCATGTGTACTATGGTCACATCGTACAATGACGCCTTTTTCTCTTACATGGCAGTCAGAAAATAGAACTCCAATTTGAAAGGTTCTGAATTCAGTTTTGGGGTCCTTGTGGTACAGTGTACATGTTTACACAGTTTCACAGGTGTGCCAATCAAATCAATATCACTATCACTTTTGTTCATAAATCATGAGCAAATTTGTTTTTATGAAAATGTCAGGTATGTCTCAATCTTGCCTACCAAGAAAGGCTATCATGAGGTAGCACTGTTTGAAAACCTAAAATGCTATTGCTTGATAGAGAGAGGTTTACGTTACTTCAAGCAGTAGCTGGTTCACAAAGAATGACTTAAACAATTACTCATCTGAACATTAAGATCGATTCATGCAGGGGAAGAATACATCTTCCTGTGTTCAAGAACCCAGAGGGAATGGATCAGAAGTTTGTAAGTAGGAATGAAAGGTGATTCCTGAGCTATTTCATCAACTTTTCTTAGCATCAGAGACAGAAGGGCATTCGAGGGGCCAGTCTATTTCACCACTAACTTTACAATAATTATAATTTGTTTCCAAACTGTGGAAAGGGTTTTGATATCGCTGTTGCAATGCCACCAGCTGATGGCTCATTTGCATAAATCAGCAAGATGGGACGTGCACTCAGCGGTATCCTACCTGTATATCCTAATTTAATATTGTTACAGTTATAGTTATTATTATTCCTCAAAAGGGATAAGCACATGGGTTAAGACTGGCATGATCAAAACAGATACTTTTTTAAGTCAGATTTAAACTGATGTAGTGAAGTATATAATGTATTCGATTTGGTCTATATAATGTGATGTGGCTAAGACATAGATCAATCCCTCTTGTTTTGTCTACAATTCTTGATTGTGCTGCAGTACACTGAAGTCTATATGGGGGACTGAAGCAAATTACCAAACCTCCTTATTGCTATTAAATACGAAGCATCACTGCAACACATGCCGCACATTCCACGGCCAACTGTCGACTCGTTGCAATGCGTGTCCTGGATGTTAATAGTAAACAGTGCCCTCTATGCTGAGCTTACTGACTGCTTCACGGAGTTCTTCACCTTCCTTGTACGTATCCATGGTAACAGGAGCAAACTGTTTCAACGTGAAATCCTCCAACCTCCGCCTCCAGACCTTCTCTTTGTGCATGTTGAGTAGATGGTTTGCTATCTCACTTTTCAATTCAGCTGAAAAAGAGCAAGATAAAAGTATTATGAATTCAGAAATGGTCACTTGCCAACTTGCAAAAAACCTTCTAAAAGAGGAAGGGGAAGAGAGTGTAAGGAGCCTTTTCCATCACTAGAGTTGTGTTCCAAAGCTATGCTATGGTACAAACACAAGGATGTTTAAGATCATAAGTTCCTCTTCCTCCTTCATGATGTTGAATTTGGTTTTTCATCATCATCATACTCAATATCATCCTCGTCCTCATCATCATCCTTATCATCATCAACATCCTTATCCTCATCATCATCATCATCATCATCATCATCATCATCATCATCATCATAATCGTCATCATCATCATCATCATCATCATACTCAATATCATCATTATCATCATCATCATACTCAATATCATCATTATCATCATCATCATACTCAATATCATCCTCATCCTCATCATCATACTCAATATCATCATCCTCATCCTCATCATCATAATCAATATCATCATCATCATCAAACTCCATACCTGGATTGACTGAGTAAACCATCTTGGGCTGTAACAGTAAAGGTCTTATGATTATCATCACCAACATGACCACCTCCATTATCTTCTTAATCATCACCACCAACATCACCACCATCATCACCACCAACACCACTATCATCATCATAATCATCATTATCATCCTTTATAAAATGGCTCTAGTATTTTAAGCATCGTGATTGGTCAATACGCGTCACATGACATGTACAAATTTTTGATGCAAGCACGATTTTGCAGAAAAAAGCGCAAAAAAAAGTTATATTACACGTGTACGTGTAGTACGCCCCTTTTCTGAGTGCATTGTAATGAGTGCATTGTAATTGTATGCATAGGTAAGTATTGTACGCTCCATGATCCATCCCAGCACAGCGCGCGTACACGTAGCTTAGCTATATAGAGCGGGCCGGGGTATTATTAGAAAGCAATTTTTATTTTACCTTATTTTGCCTTGGATTTAGGCCTGTATGAGTTTGGGATTTTATAATGAAGCCAGGAATTTCAGCTGTCTGATGTAGACTTGTCTCTAGACCCCCTATGGATTTTATTTATACTCAAGGCAATGAATCCAGTGAAGGTAAGCCTGCAAGGTCTTACTCTAGTCTTAGTCTAGAACCAACATAACTCTAGATCTAACTCTCGTAGACTCTAACTTTATACTTAAGATCTAAACTTTTGTTTGTTTTGCATTTGTGTCGCTATTTTATAAAACAAATAACGCACTTGACCCTGTTGTGCGAAACGTAAATGCAGTGTACGCTCGGTATCTTCAGATGGTGCTCACTGTTAACTCGCCGCAAGCGGCTCGTTGCACAGAGCGGCACCAATCTAAAGAAACCTCGCGGGTACTGCATTCACCGCTATTGCACTCTGGGCCGTGCGTTATTTGTATAAACAACCACTATAGCATCACCACCATTATTATCTGCACCCTCATCATCATCATCATCAAAAACCAACATCATCATCACCACTACCATCACTCTTATCATTACCATGACTACCAACAACAACAAATTGCATACCTGACATTCTTGAGTTGACCACCATGGGGTGAACCGGTAAGGGCCCCCAGGAATCCATGATGTGGAGTTTCTCCGCCAGCGAAGGATGCTTCTTCATCTGGTAGCTGAGGGTGGTGGAGTTGATTGCGGCAGCATCTACCTTCTTGTCTGCCACCATCTCAATAGACTTCACATGGGACCCTGAGGAAACAGAAGGTAAAGTAGTAGAGGTGTTTATGGTCTGGTAGAAAAGACTCTGGACTGTGCACCAAAAGGTTGAGGGTTCAAATCCCTGTCACATCACTTACAACCATTGGCAGGCTAATAATCTACATTGGCCTCGCGCGACCCAGGAGAGTTAAATGAGTACCTGGCAGTAATGTCAGGAGTGTCAAGTGTGACAGACACGAGTGCTATACAAGAACCCACATTAATGTTAACATTTGAATACAACCATTATGACTGGAGGAGGAGGTAAATCATTCTACTGTAGCTATGAGTTCTATATAAGGGAAGATTCTTATGACTTTCTGAATAATAATGCAAGATATTTCTAATCACTCTTCAGTAATTAATGGCGTTCCTTTAGTAACTACTGCATATTATGAATTCCATTTAATGGATTATTCCCACAAAATAACTGGGAGAGTCGTGTCACATCACATGCTAGTAAAGTAGAACAAAAATTGTGAGCTACACTGTATCTATTTGAATACCACGCTGCAATTAATTGAGAGAAAACAAAGAGAGTAGAGACAAAGCTGACCAACCTGACTGGACGATGTGACCAAAGAACATGACGCTCTCTCCCCTCTTCTTGAGTTCTTTCAGCGTGGTGAGGACACCACTGGGAGAGTTGGGGCTGGAATAGGCCCACCTTATCCCTCTCATATCGTTGAACTCTTTGTACTTCTCACTGTTAAATGGAACAACAATTTGATCAAGGTTCAAAGGTTAATGCAAAGTTATGACTGCATAGTTTTTTCATTAGGTAGAAAGCAAAAGCTCACAAGTGATGGATGTGTGATCAAATACTAGGATGATAAATTGCAATTGGTTTCACTTTGTATTATGATATGAAAATGACAATTTAAAGTTTGTGGCATTTTGTCTATGGTCCACTGAAAGAAATCATGAAGCAAGTGAAACTTTTGCCAAAGCTAAAGAATAACCCTCAATAATATGATCTGAAATTGGCTCTGGTGAGAATTGTGCCAGGCTTTTTTTGCCCAAAATGTTGAGTTATGGTTAGGTTTACAGTTAGGTTCAAGATTAGGGTTAGGTTGGGGTTAGGTACAGGGGTGATGTTAGGTAATGGTTGAAAAGGAGATGGTCTTCAGTCTCCATGTGCAGTAGGTCATAATTCGCTGACATCAGACTTGGTGGAAATAACATCAATGGGTGTACAAGTCTAGCACACACCAAACCTGTATTCCTATCAAGAAATATCCCCCAGTCTCTTGGAGAGTCTTTGGATGAGGGCAACGTAGGATAATTACTATTCCATATGGGACGATCGGTGGAAAATGCAAAGCATTACATAAGGCCTGTTCATCCTGGTGATTGACAACACCGTTTATTGGGTAAACACCCGAAAAAATGTTGAAATCCTAATGAGAGCCCACTTTTATGTGTCTTGGAACAAGTACCACATGATCATGTGTTGTACGACACTAAACATTGTTTCTACAATTTCAATTGGGACAATCGCCCACAAATTAAAAGCTATGTGCGTTTAAAAAAAAAGAAGCCCAATACACCTACCAGTTATCAGCATGAACTATGACATCTGAAAAGTAGACTGGTTTGTTGTTGGACTTTGGATGTGGAGAAAGTGGCGCAACAGGAAGCAATTCAGCCTTGTCTTTGACCCTCTCTAGTAATCTTGTAAATGGCTCTGCATTCATGAAAGCTGAAAGAGATGTTAAGATAAAAAGTAAAGGTGACAAAAATACACTAACATTTATCTAGACACTACACAAAGTAGGAAAACCACAGTTGAGAAAAATGATGGTCATTCTTTCAGGTTCAACTTGCTCTAACATTTAGTAACAAGCAAACAATCACAACAACAATATCGTCTAACAATATCAACATAATCCTCCTCCTCATTTTCATTTTTCGCCATGATTGCGACCACTATCATAATCAATATCATTATCATCATTTATATCATTATTATCATTTTCTTTACCAATAATTTCTGATATCATTATAACTATCATTATCACTATTGTTGATTATCATTATCATCATCACTATCACTATCATAATCATTATCACTATCACTATCATAATCATCATCACTATCACTATCATTATCTTTTTCCCATCATCATTATCATTAGGATCATCATAACATCATCATCATTATGTCATCATTAACATTATGAAGGTCATCATCCACATCATTGTGATGATGATCATCCACATCATGTCATCATCATCATGATCACAATATACCTATATCGACATCGTCCAGTGTGAAGGGGTCTGGTCTATCAGCAGGAGGACCAGGCCAGCGGCTTTCGTAGATGAGATAGACCGGGCACTTCATCTTTTCCTCCAGATAGTGGGCCACCATTTCAAAGATCTCCACTGGTAGGCCTGGACAGAGATAGGTCATCAGCCTTAGCTTGACCGGAACCCTCCGTGTGTCAGCCATCACAACGTTAAATGGTCCTGCACCTAGATGAATCAAACTAAATAAAGAAGAAAAAAATCAATTAATATATATCTCATACACTTGTGGTACTCACATGCGTCCAATCCAGCAAAGCATAGAGAGTCAATGCTAATGCGTATTGACCTCTGGCACGGCATACTTATTATTTGCTGTGAGGCAGGTATTATACACAAATATACACACCACACAATATTGCTTAGACTGCACACAATAGGACCGGTTGGGCTGATCGGCAAATTTGACACTAGACTTACAATTTAAATTTTTAAATTATTCTTTTTAACATCAGTAAGTTGAACAAATTGTATTTTACTGCTATTTAGGTGTCATCAATTGTCACTAAAGTACCGATTTTTGGTGAAATCAGTTGAGTTTTGTACAGTGGTGTTTGAAATGTTGAGAATCAAAAGCACAACTTTCACTACACAGCCAGGATAGTGATGCAGCTGTGTGTGCATGCGTCCATCAACCTCTGAAATAGACTCTTATGGCATATCACATTTTCTGAAATGGACCCTTTATTAAGAAAACTTTGAAACCTGTGAACATGAAAAGGTACATTTTGGGGGTTTTGGCGCAATCTGTGCTTGAAAAATACCTCTTTTTAAGGAAAAAGTTGACAACGCTGTATAGCTGAAAAAGACATCCTTTCGGTGCTTTTCCTGGACGCAGGTGCGTAGCCAGTCATGTTGGGGTCTACAACGGCCCTAGTCCAATTTAGCATAATTAAAATAATATTTCGCATTCGTATGAATGGTCCATCACTAACCTAACCCTGACCCTATTAAACACCAACGCTATCCATAACCAAAACCCTTACCCTAGCCAGTAGAGGTGCTGGTCCGAGAATGAGGATCGTTCTCGTAAACACGGACAATTTGCGTCCTAAAAAATAAGGATCGTTCGCATTTTCGCGAAGGTTTTTTTTTCATCGGCGCTCTGCGGGTTTCGGGTTCCTGAACTGCACGCTGGCGATGCGAAAAACAGACTCTACACACAGTCTACTATATGGGTTGTCCGTCTTCCTAAGGATTTATCGATCTTAAAGTGAAAGTCTCTGTACAAACTACAAAGTCATTGTGTAATGCATCAAGAGAATCACGCAATCCGTTTTTCACATCGCAGATCGGAAATAAGTTTAAGAAACGTCTGCAAAATGTGGACGATCCTTATTTTTGCGGACCAGTGTCCTTACTGGTAACCCTAACAATTGGCAACTTTTCTCTTTCCAGGCTTTTTATTTCTACTTTGGGCAGAATCCAGAGAATTACCGGAATTTCTTTCCAAATCCACATGCAGCCTCCGAGATAGCTGAATTAACGCGTAAGTCATGCATGCCAACCAAGTTGAAAAAGGGACAGTCACAGACACACTCACAATCACAGTTGAGAAACAAAAATGAAACTGAATGAAACTTAACTCAAACCTTTGTTCTTATAAATTAAAAATACTAAAGTAAATGCACTCATCACTTTCATCACAGGTTATACATATACTGCTTCAATTCATATCCAAATTACTTACAAAGATGGAAATTACACAATTTGCTTGTCCACAGAAAAGAATCCAACTCAGACTGTCAGAGTCAATTTACCGGCACGGCGTGAATGACGTCAGGGCGGTTATCCGGTGATTATGAAAGCACTGTACAGGTATCCGTGATCAGCGTTAAAAATGTATGGAAAGCCATATTTATTCACAAGGACGTGAATCAAACCAAGATCAAGTAACCACAAACATGAAGTTTTTACTAACTTTGATTGATTGATTGTTTAATTGATACGAGGTTTTCTCTCTCTCTCTCTCTCTCTCTCTCTCTCTCTCTCTCTCTCTCTCTCTCTCTCTCTCTCTCTCTCTCTCTCTCTCTCTCTCTCTCTCTCTCTCTTGGTTATGGAAAAATTGTACCGGTAGTTCTTTACTTTGTTTTCAACGCGTTATGTACTATACACGAACAGTTTATCATTATCATATAACTTTGCTCATGATATCCTAATGTTTATCCACCTCAGCTGCCCATGCATCCATTAACCCTCTTCCCCCGCCCCCCTAAAAAAATATTTGTTATCATTCCTCCTCCTTTCTCTTGTAACCTTTTTTGCCTTCTTGCTCTCGACATTCCCTCTTCATGCTTTATATTCACTATGAACATGACTGACAAAGAAAGCGGACAAAATATACAGTTCCTCAGGTAGACAAAGGAACATCTCTTCACTGCTATTAGGGCCGCTTTTTGTGTTAGAACAGGTGTCGCATGCATATTCACTTTTTACATAATAGCAGTGAAGAGATGTTCCTTTATCTACCTGAGGAACTGTATATTTTGTCCGCTTTCTTTGTCCCTCATATTCATAGTGATTTCTACCTGATCACTTGTTTGTTACTGGATAGGCCATTGTCGTACGTCTCTGTGAAGTGTCTCATTATTTCATCCACCTGTTGCAATGGAATGCACATTGCAAACATCAATAGGCCATTTTCGTAATGTAACCATATTTAATGCATTCTTGTGAAGTGCCTCAATACAAATTATTTCAGTCCCCTGATAAGAATAATAGTATTTCAATAGCCAGAATGCAAACTGCACTATATATTACGTTTTGCTAGGTAGGTCAAGCCATAATGTTTGTCCTAGCTGGTAACAACTAATGTATGCAGTTCGGAGTTTGTATATTAAAATACTATTATTCTTATCAGGTGAATGAAATAGTTTGTATTGAGGCACTTAACAAAGAATTAAATCTAGTTACATTACGAAAATGGTCTATTGTTGATCGGTGGGATAAACATGATTTGCCCCACCTAACATTGAACACGTAACTGATGCAACATACATCAACACGTTAAAGGAAATAATTCGTTTCGAGGAACTCGAGGTATATGATTTGCATTTTATTGCATTATTGCATTACGAAAAATGCTTATTTCTGTTCATGCTTCATGTCGCCTGCACCAAAGATGTGTAGAGTACCACCTAATTACAATGAATGCAAACATCTGGCAGAATTGAAAGGATGCACAATTCAATAACTGAAATGCCTTGATTCTTTGTTTGATGTCAGAGGTACTCTCTAAAAAAATAGGGACTTTTAGATTGAGTGGACGAGAACACGACGTACGTACGCCGACTGATCATGCTTGTCAACGTACTTAACTGCCCATGTTGACTACAATTAGAAATCTATTGGATTGCACTCGACGATATGCATGCAGGAAGTAGCACTATGAACATCACGGACAAAGAAAGAGGACAAAATATACAGTTCCTCATTCTACCCTCAACAAAAGAACATCCCTTCACTGCTATTATGTAAAAATGTGTAGAACAGCTGAATATGCATGTGACACCTGTTCTTCACATTTTTACATGGATGTTCTTTTGTATGAGGAACTGTATATTTTATGCGCACGCGGCATACTAGTACCTTGAGCATGTAAAGGCGCTATATAAATACCACTATGTATGTATGTATGTACTAGATTTAGGAAAATCAAGGTTGACGCATTCTCGATCGCCGACTGAGACGACGTAACGCATGCGCAGTGCCTTAAAATGACGTCACACGTTGCAGTCGAAGCTGTAGACGTGCAAATCTAAAAGTCCCTAATATCGAGTGATCACGGACGTCACTCCTCTGGAGAGTGAAAATGTAGTGAAAATAGAGTTAACATTCACTATTTTCTTCTTAGAGAGCACTCTAAAATCAATTGATTTTCACTCCTAAACAAGTGATCACGGACGTCACTCCCAAGAAAGTGAAAATAGAATGAAAATTCACTCTTTTTTTTAAGAGAGTACCAAAGCCGCCAAAGAAGGTAAAAGCTATTTTTAAAAAATTATGAAGTAGTATATTATGATGCACAGAAAGTTGTTGAATCAATAAGCACAATAATCAAATATTAAGCATAATGATCAAATGCAGATGTATTATAATAAATAATTTAATCTTAAAATATCCAAGTGTCAACATTTAGGATTTTTTGAGATATAATCTCAAATATACATTTTATGGGTAATTGAATCCTTTTCTGTTTCATTCTGGTAGTTGTATTTCATAAAATATCATCGTGAAAGATTATTTCATCGAACGTCATTTACCATTAAAAGGCCATTTTGGTAATGTAATCAGACAAATTTAATGCAAAAATCTCTGTCAAGCCGTGCCATGCATGCCTACAAATAATTTCATTCACCTGTTATAATGAATAATTAAATAGTCAGAACGCGCACTATTTTTATGAACAAAGTTTCTCTTGATATAAAGCTTGCAATAGGCACTATGAATATGACTGACAAAGAAAGCGGACAAAATATACAGTTCCTCAGGTAGACAAAGGAACATCTCTTCACTGCTATTAGGGCCTATGTAATGTAAATGTGTAGAACAGGTGTCACATGCATATTCACTTTTTATAAAATAGCAGTGAAGAGATGTTCCTTTGTACCTGAGGAACTGTATATTTTGTCCGCTTTCTTTGTCCCTCATGTTCATAGTGAGGTTTTCCCGACCTAGCAATGTATGTAACTAGATTCCACTGTATAGCGAGTGGATGAAATAGCTGCAGGTAACCCGGCTGGTAACCAGAAACCAGGGGTTAGTGACATGAAAGGGTTTATACGAATAACATGATACATGCAAAACGTCATATCTATTCAAAAAAGGATTCTTCAGATCAAAATTAAAACTGTTTTCACAACACACAATATGCCATTTTCGTAATGTAACCAAATTTAATGCATAAGGCTTTGTGAATAATAATAATAATAAATCACATTTATAACGCGCCTAATACATTGTTTCTAGGCGCAGTGGTGCTGTTGTCCCAGCAGCCATTAAGTGAAGCAATATCCTTACACGAAATAAAGCCGGGACGACAGCACCACAAGTACACAATATTATTCAGTACACAATTATACAGTATGCTATGTTACATTACAAAATCAAAATTACAGTTTGTTTATACAAATAAATGAATAAATCAGCTTAATCTAACTTAAATCTAACTTAAATCTAACTTAAATTCTGCTAAAGATGACTTATTTCATAACAAATGAAAGTACAACATCATTTATTTATTTGACATGTTTAGAGAAGAAAAAATTCATGGTATGTTTTTGAACAGATGGGTTTTTAACATTACTTTGAAAGTGGAAGTAGAAGGAGCATTTTGAATGTAGGACGGGAGGTTATTCCACAACTGGGGGGCAGCTACAGAAAGCGCTCTATCCCCGTATCTCGTTTTCACACGAGGGCCAGGAATTAGTTGAAGGTAAGAGGAGTGCCTTAATACAAATTATTTCATTCACCTGATAGGAATAATAGTATTTCAATAGTCAGAATGCAACTGCATATATTGAGTGTTGCTAGGTAGGTCAAGCCATAATGTTTGTCCAACCTGGCAACAACTAATGTATGCAGTTCGCATTCTGTCTATTGAAATACTATTATTCTCATCAGGTGAATGAAATAATTTGTATTAAGGCACTTCACAAAGACTCATGCATTAAATTTGGCTATATTACGAAAATGGCCTATTGGGAGGTCTCGGGCATAAAAAAATGACTTTAAGTAGAAACAGGCGCGGTTCCACCGGGAGTGGGGGGGGGGGGGCGACAAACCCTGCCCCCTGGCGAAGAACAGGTCAAAAAACAGTTTAAAAAACGTATATGTTACCTTCTTTTTAAAAAAATGCCCCCTCCCCCTGGCAAAAAAAAGTAAAACATTTTTGCTTATTTTTCCGCTCAAGGCGGGGGGGGGGGGGCGGGGAGGGTTATTGTTGAGAAAACAGGAGTGTTCACCCCCCCCCCCCCCTCTCCCGTTGAGCCACCAAACCACCAACAAAATTGGTCGGCGCGATTTTCGAATTTCAGGGGGGCGAAATAAAATAAAATGAGTGCGCACTACCCTCCCCCACTGAGTGAAATATTGGTTTGCACGATTAATACATTTTGGGGGGGGGGGGGAGGGGGCAAAATGAATTTTAAAAATTTTAGTAGCAGCTCGTGCCATTGTTTTTGGGGATTGAACAACTTCTCTTCCCCCTGTTCCACTTTCTCTTATTTTTTAATTCCTTCAAAATTTGCCATGTTTGTGTCGCCATCCGATGGGGAGGGGGCACCTGTTCCGCACCCACCCCACTTCCTCCTGTAACTGTGCCACTGCTACATCTAGAATACTCGTGGCACTCCATAGTGAATAGTGAATTCGGTTAGTTGACCTTAAACGAACTTTCTCTGTCAAAAATCCGAATTCACTTGAATGCGGAAGCGCTAACGTAAAGCATGCACATATTTTGTGCATTCAAAACATACGTACACCAGCTGGCTGAGATTATACGGAGTGGAGTCAAGTCCGGTTAGTAATCGCGGAGTACGAGTGTATGCATTTGCCGTCGCATATACCTCGCATCATGTCCGCATCAGTAAAGTAATTGCATTTCATCCATCGTCTACCAGACAGATTTCTACGGATTAAACAGAACTATCTTCTAGATATTGACACAATTGCATTGCCATCAACCTCCGAATAATGAAAGGAAATATCGTAGTAAGACTTCATGAGTAGAATCTGTTCACGATTAGGAGGAAAATATTGTTTTGATTCGCATCTTCATTTCCGCGATCACTCGAGTAATGTCAGCTGCTTCTCGGATCGTTCTCCAGCAGTTCCCCGTGTGGTAAGGAGCGATTTACGCTAGGATTCCCTCCCTGCAGACTATTGTCTATTGACTATTGTCTCATTCGCATTCCACGACATTGGGCGAAGTTGACATTAATGATTCATCGAAGAAACACGACCTCATGTTAATTGTTTGTAAATCGATTTAAAAAAGGAATTCCGAGAAGGAACACACACCTTTTATTCTTGGACTCTTTGGAGTTGTAATTGTGGCGAGTAAATCATCAGTATTGAAGGAGGCAGATTATCTTGAAGAAGAAGAAGAAGAAGAAGAAGAAGAATGATCATGCAGACATCGCATTGACATTGTTGTGTGCTGGTTGTAAACTTGTGACGTTCGACTGAGTCTGATGCCGAGAAATAAAATTAAATTTAGGACTTTCTTACTTAAGGAGGACTCATTAGAGTCTTGACTCTTGTTGGAGAGGAAAGAAAAGGTAAAACATTTGCACAAAAATAACTTGTTATAAATATCGTTAAGGTAATGATCAGATGATGAGCTGATGAGCAATGATGAAGGGATGCTGTTTTTTCTTCTTTAAAGATTAAACAAAGATTTTATTTTTATTTTTAAAATGAGTGTATTTAATTAGATCTATGTCTTCAAAGTTTTTCACTTACCAATCAGACTATGAGTATGTACATGTACATGTATATGTACATGTACAGTGCATACCGGTATGATTTTATCTTACAGCCTTTTCACACACAGCTAAAATTCTATAAACATGATTAGTTTAAAGGGCATTAAACTAATCAGCTGTACATACGACATCATTCACACACAGAAATTTTGGTGTGATCGTTAATCGTTTACCGGTACGTGATTAACTACTGCTCTTAAAATGCGTAGTAGTGCCATTACGCATTAAAGGTCAGGTCATATCAAACAAAGCACACGCTCCATCCAGTTTAAACACGTTTAAACCGTTCACACACAAAATGTCAATCTCTCTAGATACGAACTTCATATCTGCAGCCTGCTTTGAGGGGCGTATGAATCTCGACTTCATATCTATCTGAACATCGTATAAAGGTGTTTAAAACTGTTGAGTTAAACATGTTTATACTAATCATCTCTAGATACGATGAATTTTAGCTGTGTGTGAAAAAGCTGTTAGTCTTACCATAGCCTTTCCCTCCTTCTTTTTAGTGTTGCAGACACTGAGACAGCAGAGTTTAACTCCTCACTGCTCATGTGCTTTTTTCATCTTGGCTTCATGATTATTTAGTTTTTTTCACCCTTTGACTACTCAATTTCTTCATATTCCCATTTGCAATTTGGCAGAGTATAGTAACAACCTGGTTCCTGTAGGGCCGAAGGCATACATGTAGGGTTGATTGAATCCCTTGCAGTGCTGGTGATGAGATACATGTAGTTGTTTAAGCTTAAAGTGGAAATTCAAAGAAAATCACAAATATGTCAACTAATGTATCACTAGAAACTGGTAAGCTAACCGATGGCCATGGTACAAGTTTTAGGTCAACTACATATCGGGTGATTTATAAAAACTAAAAGTACAACCAGTTCCATAGCATCTGGGCACGAAAGATGTTTTAATGACGTCACATAATGGACCAATACAATCCAAGCAGATGACATCCGATAAAGAATGAACATAATTGCGAAGCTATTATTTGTCAAATTACAATGATTTTAGTGTATATAATGTAAATGTGATGGCATTTCAAACCATTCAAAAGGGGATATGAAACCGATTCTGATAACTAAAATCTTTTGTTTGTAAATACACAGGATAGGGGTTAATTAACAATCAAAGAAACCAGACTTTGAAATTGAAAAACCTGCGGAATGATATTAGGGACAGCATTTGTTCCCTCTTAAAATGCTGAACATGTTGCGCTGTGTGCAGCTGAATATACAATGGCGTCGATTTTGTTTACAAGCGACAGATTCCTTTATTTTTATATCGCTACATTTGTCATCAAAATAAAATCATGCGCTGGGTTTAGAGTGAGGCAATAGATTATACATTTAGCCTGACGGTAGTAAAGTAAGAGAAAGAACTCAAGAGAAGATGAAAAAACAGGCACTGAAAATGTGTGAGATGTCATGGGACATCGTCTGCTTGTGCGAATCATGTCCATCCTGTGATCTGACACCTCGCCAGCGTTCGGAGAGCTCTTCAGGTGCTATGCCTGGGCTGGATTTAAGCGTTTTGTAATTTACACATGTATAATGTTTCCAAACATTGAATTTTGATAACCTTGTCGAATCAAAGTTTCAACTTTGCAATAATGAAAATAAAGTTAGTTTTTAAAATCAGTGAATATGTACTTTAATGAAGTTTGTGCCTTGGTAGTAATGGTATGGTGTGAAATGTAATCAGTGAAAGAAATCATAAAACATGGTAACATTTGAAAGTGACAATTTACTGCCTACAACTCTTCTGCTATTCTACCATACACAATTTCAAGAAGTCAAAGCATACACCTGGATCACTGAGTATTGATTAATTGATGTACAGGTACAGCTCGTACTGCCTTCCCTTCAAGATGTATGACATATTTACGTCTACTATATCCTCTCACAAAATATATGATTTCCTATATAAATTTATCAAAGGTTTGAATGTTATGACTCTGTAAATATTATTTGTGTGCTGTTTGGCTTCCCCCTATTGCAGTTTACGTGCATGCAATCACATGATCATTAAAATATGATTACGTAGCAGCAAGGCCGGGTCATGAGATTATGATAATTGCCAATTTACCGGAGCCCTGTACGAATATGCATCCTGTGGCTCATATTAATGATAATTGAATCGACGTGATCTGATTACTGATATGTTTCAAGGTCTGAAGTGTGAAAGAGAAGCCCGTCATCGGAATGATAATCCCCTGAAAATCACCTCTTATTTTTTCTGTTAGTGATACATGTGGAGTGATTAGATTCAATGGGATAGGGATTATGGCTATACCAAGTGTTGAATGACTTCCTGTTAATAGTGTGTGAAAAGAGCCTATAGATAATCCACCCTCACCGCAAAATAGGGAGGACGTGCTATAACATGTATGACTTCAATTCATACATTTCATGTACATGTACTGTACAATGTACATGTACAGTTAATGTCTACAAATTTGGATTTTGCAGAGTACAGGTGTACAAGAAAACTTTCACTTTTCACTGTTGTAATGGTTAAAAGGAAAATTTTAATGTATTTCGTGTAACATTGTATAGTACAACACTGTTAAATATTTTTGTTCACATTGGCTTTTTCATTGCTAGAAATGGGAAGAATACCAAGTGTGAAAGTCAATTCAATTATCATCATTTTCAATTTGAAATGGAAATTATAAACAAACTGTTGTTATTTTGTTGACTTGATTTAAATATTGATAAACCATTCTCTCAATTTTACTTCTACTTTCTTGAATGTCCTGGCTGCAGGTAATGATTTCAGGTGACCAGCCAAATGCTCATTCAGACCAGTAGCATGGAGTCACAGGGCTGGACCGAGTCACAGGGCTGGACCGAGTTCTGCGAAACCGAGGCGCACAAGGCTGCTGTGATCTTCGCACGCAACTACCGACAATACATGATGGTGGCAGCAAACTCCTCTGCCAACCATCCTCAGGTATCAGAGCCCATGCCCAAGGAAAATCCTACAAGGTTTGCCCAACGTTTCACCGAACACTTCTTCGAGCACTTTGAAGCTGAAGCGAGGCGAGGGTTCCATTCAGGAAACCTCGTCGAGACCAATGTGGAAAATGACAATGCAGCAAATGCGGAGTTGAACGGCGTCAGGCCGGAGAGCCAAGAATCATTGAACTCGTCGTGGGGACGATCGACCAACTTGGAAACCAGTAGTTCAGAAGAAATCCATCATAATAACCAGCTGGCCGACAGCCTCACGGGAATGGACAGGGCCTTCTCCCTAGGAAACAAAGACATTGGTCGAAAGCTCTCCTTCCGAAATGTCCGCAACAACTTCCGGAGGCGGTTCTGGCCTCAGCCGGACAAGGATCGGGAGCGAGAGCGCTATAACTTGAGGGATATCGTCAGGGAAGGCATCATCAATTTTCTAAGCGGGGAGGACAACCAAGGAAGGCAACGATGGGATCGGACCAGGCTTGTCTTGATGAAGAGAAATGAGGGATATGTCTTGGACTTCTATACTCCTCCTAAGGTAAGTCATGGTACTTTGTTTCTAGAATAATTGTACAGTATGTCGTAGAAAGAAACCTGATGAGTACATGTTCATTATACAGTAGGCTTAGGGTTGCCCCATGTGAGAGAAGGGGGGGGGGGGGGATTGGAGACTCCTGAAAAGGACTGTACATGTAGGTAATCTTTCTTTCTTGAGTGTGTTTGTAGTCCTGAAATGGACTGTTGGTAATCTTTCTTGAGCTTATAGTTCTAAAGAGAATAGATGTATAGCGCTGGTTGGAGAGGATGTAGTATTATGTAGCATTTGCTGATATTCAGACAGGCTTGAACTCTCATAATTTTACATGAAATCGTCAATCATGTCCTTCTGGCATGTGAAAGATGGTTTTGTAGAGTGTTCTGGTCCGACTGTATTGATCGTAAGCTTCAGGTTTACATGCATTTACCATGAGCAATGTATCCCCCAAAACAACAGCAACATTTGCGCACATGCTGCCAATGCAAACATAATATTTGCAGTATTGTTACAACTGGTGCAAGAACGGTATGCTGTAAGTTTGAAGGGAATATTTTCTTAGCTTAGACTATTGTGTGTATCTTTTTATTTATCTAATTAACAGCATGTTTTAATAATTCAGCATATGAATATATATTTCCCTTAAACAAATATTTACCCCATTATACTTGTTAAATGTGATGTTCGTGTGTGTCGTTATGTTAACTTTGATAAGAGTGATACAAATGTCCCTGGAGTGATAGAGCACCTGTACTTATTGTACTGTGAACTTGCATTGAGCTGGTAAATGAGGAAGTACATGTACTTCTAGGCTACACATATCCAATACAAATTAGCTACTGACATACTACATATACATTGTACATGGACAATATTTGCACTATGTACATATGTGATGCATTGTATCCACTTCATTTGTATGAGTCGTGACGACAACTTGTATTATGAACAATTTTATTATGCTTTCGGATCGTTTAACATAATATTCTTTTGTTTTGTGCATGCTCCGTTCATGCATGCCTTGCAGTGCTGTTACACTGCATCGCTCTGCTAAAGAAAATAATTACCAGTAACTGTTTTTTAAGTCAGGTGTATAATGTACGTATGTACATGTGGGCTGGTCTTTTATTTATATGGCTATCTTTTGGTATGAGTCTGTGGCTATTATGGGCTAGTTCGACTAGAGTGTCAAGTCTGACAGACATACAGTGTATGAGCGCTACAAGAACCCACTATTATTATTATTGTTATTTTTTATTTCAACATACTGCAGTGACATTTATACGGTTGTGGGAAATACATGTACTGTATGCCTTCAGTTTGCATTCATATAGTGTATGAAGATAAACTACAGTATGTCAAGTTATTGTCTGTGAGAATGACAAATAGAATACGTCACTTTTGTTCTGAAAGGCCATGCTGGATGTCTTTTGTACTAAGTTGCAAACAACTTTTGTTTGAAACGTCATGCCGTGCCATGCTAAATGATATCATGCCAAATCATGTGCACAACAAGGCCAATCCTGTGATATGAATCACTGGACCGACCAAGGGAATCCCACTGTTACAAACAGCCCACACAGTTAACTTCTAGCACATGCAGTAATCTAACAAAATAAATTTAAGTAGACTCAAGTTGTCCACTAAATTCAACATAAAAATTGCAAGCCCTTTGACTTTTTATCAATATCACACGACATGTACAACATGCTTTATAGTCATTTTGTAAGATAATTTCAAGTTTTTTATGTGATACTTTCAGGAAGTTGTTCATGGGAGAGTATTGTCATAAAAACCTTGAGAAATTAAAAAAAAAAAACTTATTAAGTTATTATCATTTGCTGAAAGGAGAGATCTATACTTGACAGAATTTTTTTTACCCACAAGAATTATATTTAAAAAAAAGAGTATTTTAAAAAAAAAATTGTCTAATGTACATATGTACAATGTATGTTTGGTTTTAATTTAGGACTTTAATTCAGTTTTCTTTGAGAAATATTTGATTTGCAGGCTTGGAAGTTGGAACTGTACAACATTTTGTGTATTAATTCCATTACTGATAATCATTACGAATTTCTTGTACATATATTAACATCCTATTGAGAACTGTATATTAGATGCCTACATACTGTACATGTATATATATACAAAGAAATTTTATGTGGTAAAATAGATGTTAAATCTTTTTTGTTTGTTTTCTTTTTTTTTCATGAACCTGGTAAAGTCTAAATCTAGATTGACATAGATCTGCACTTTTCCCTCCCAAACGTGTCCCCTTTTCTTTTTCTTCTTCTTCATACCGGTACTTTGATTGGTGTTTAAAGGCCCACTGCACTACTTGTAGCTACTTGCGCCCTCTATATAACAAGCCATGCCTAATCGGTGACCATTGATCCCCCATGATCCTCTTTTTCTTATGTTAACTGAGAGCTGAGTTGATGAGATAACCACCTGTCCAGTGACCTTGCAGGGCAGTCTAATCCCTCCTGTAAACTATGGCAGATACGCTTTAAAAGCCCCTTTTGATTTGGGGCTATCCTTCAGTACAATATACATGTACATGTACGTACATGTACATGGTGATAATTTACCTGTACATGTACATGTACTGTATGCCTTTTCATAACTTCATAAGAAGTTTTCAATTTTTCATTTACATGAAATGGCCTCTGTTTTTTTGTTTTCCTGTCAGGCTATCCTAGAAAGCACATGGGCCTCCATTAGCTGCGTTCGGACATGTCATATATCATCATACATCAGGCTCTTACCCAATTAACAGCATTGGCATATTGTAGCCTGCACATATTGGGCATTAGATTTGCTACTGTGTAGCTGTCCATGAGGCCTTACATGTGTAGCTGTGCCATTACCTAACAGTTAGACCTATAATTAGCTGTGTCATGATCACCCTGTGATTATAATCTCGCCTCATATGACAGCATGTAATTAGCATTGACACATATGCCTGCTGAATGGGATTAATAGGGATATTACTAGGAATGCTGAATGGGATTAATAGGGTAGCACTAGGAATGCTGAATGGGATTAATAGGGTAGCACTAGGAATGCTGAAAAGGATTAATAGATTAACTCACTGGATGGGATTAATAGTAAGGTAATTCTGTGGCCATGCTGAATGAGATTAATGGGGTTACAAGTACCCTATAAAGTGTATGTAGGTTAAATTTGTAAGTGGGATTCAAAAGATAACATGAGTACAACGTTAATTGTACCATTCACTAGGCCTAATTGTTCATTTTGTAAAGTTCATAGTAAATGTACTTTTTAAGTACTTTTTGTTGTTTGTGTTAACACTAAAATGGGGTAAGTTGCCAATAAAATGCATTGTTTGTGGGTTAGATGGATTAAAGATATGTTGCATCCCGCCCCCTCTTTGGCCAATGCATGTCTAAACTAGATAAAAACCCTACAGTCAATAAATATCAGCCCCAAAACATTCTTGTCCATGAACATGTCACTTGTTTGATGCTACTGGGCCTTGAGTTGATAAGTTTGATGATTTTCACATGAATATTTTCTTGAGTTTGTTTACAATTTGCTGGTTCAAATATCATCACGATGAGGGGCACTTTCAAAGGTATTCCTTTCTTTTCTTGTCACCCATAGGAATCTTGCCATATTTTTACATTAACTGTTCACTATTTATTTTCAAAAGTTATAATAGTACCTTTAGAATACTTGTCATAGAATGTCAAAAGATAAGTAGCAGGACTCGTATACAATTTCATAATGTTATGACATATGACACCTATTCAGCTTATCACATACACCTACCCACACAAAAGGTAAATTACAAAGCCCCAAAACCATTAAAAAAAGAAAATCTGTTTTTTTACTGCCATTTTCACTATTGGAAAAAAACCACACTCAAGAGGTGGGTTTTTCGTACTATTCACCAGTAGTTGCTTAGGAACTTTTGACATAACCCCAGAATTTGAAGAAGAAAAAAAAAATCAATTATTTTTTTGCTTGCTGTGTAAAATGCAACTAAGGAATCTTATTTCAAAAGTTACACCACATACATGTACTGCTAGTTGCTAATTCGTGTTTCATTGATTGAAACTTCAAAATGTACAACTTTTTTTTAAATATTTGACCATATTTTGCTCAAGTTTTTTCACTATGAAACTAATCTGTATCTCTCATTTTTCTCCTTTATTAAAACTAACTAAATATATATTAGGGTAGACTTTGTCTATAGATTATTCCCCGGCTATGTAGTCTTAGAAGTACATAATTATGAAAGAACATGTTGATTAATAAAAAGGGATCAATTACTATTTCTTTCATTGGTTTAATAAGTCCTCTTTAAATACAGGAGCTACCAAACTTTTAATACAAAGTTATGCATTCTACTTTTAGAAAATTGACATTTTTCTGTAATTCATTCATTTACAATAAATACATGTTTTCAGATTTGCACATCTTTGTTTTTTCTTTAGAATTAAGTTCATTGTTGCAAGTTTGGAAAAAAAGTTATGGTTCTCAAGGGCATTTAATTCATTGACAGAATGGCTGAAATGAATACAGAATAGCAGATGGCCTAAACTGTTCATGATGTTTGTTTTATTTCCCCCTATATTTGTGAGGTTTCATGTTTAATTTAAAAAAAAAAGAATAAAAGAATCCTCGCCTCTTTAGCAAAAAGAAACACATGCCTCACCCATTCCGTGAAGGGTCAGGAGTTCAGGATATTGTCATTAATACCAATTGATTGACATTTTTCAGGCTAATGAACATGGATTCTGTTTGAATTCAGTGAGTTCTGTGGTTAATGTGGCCTGGAAATTGTTCAACTCAACATAATTAATGCTAGCAAATGCATGGGCTTGATAATTTCAGGATAGTTTATTATTCAAATTATACGTGTAGTAGATATTAATCACAGGAATTAGGTTCATTTATTTTAGAGTTATTTGGATGATATGAATCAATGTGGAAATCACTATTTTCCAATTATTGTAATTGATGCCAGCAGATAT